GGCGTCGGAAGTGGTTTTTATCTAGGACTGAGCCATTGTTTTTGGGGTTTAACATTCGCATATAGAATCCATTATTCATCACCGGTAACAATTCTGCCCAAAAATGGTTCACGCGCATTACGCGCCAAAAGAGACGACGCAACGGTCACACGTTGGAAACGACGATCATCGGAGAGTTCGTGAGGCAACCAAGCACCTTCTTTATGGAGTTTTCCCATATTCCTTTGATGTTTACGTATTGTTTCATGAGAGACATGCAATTTCAGGGCCATTTCAGAGTATGTTGACTTGGGTTAGACTCAACAAGCGTCTTCAAAGCATCAACATCAATTCCAACATGTCGGCCCCTACCATCACAGTTTTTAAGGCTAAAGTCACCTGAACGAAATTTCCTGAACCATCGTTGACACTTACGAACGTTTAAAACATTTCCATAAACTTCTTTGATATTATTTGTGGCTACAGAGACGTTGCTTCCCTTCTTGTATTCAAACAGCATTACATGTCGAATTTGTGTCTCGTCGTATACCATCACTATAAGGGAGTAGAGTATACTAAACTTAACACATTATATGGGCTATACTAACGTGACGTTTAGGCGGTTTGGTTAACTATTATACATGATGTACGATTTTTGGGAGTGGTTAATGAAAGTGTTTTAAAACGCGACATTAATTTCTTGACGACCTAATAGATACCAGAATGAAAGGACCATGATATATAAATAAGTTATAACGCTGAAAGCCTAAATTAAAAACGAGTATTATGCACCATAATATCAGTTAAGTTATCACAGCGAATTAAAAAGTGACTGATTATCGGGCTAATTACCTGATTAAAATTATGGCTATTAGATATACAGTGCTCCTAGAAAATCAGCAAACGAATGGTGTAAAAATACATTTAACTCCATTTTCAACTCTGATCTACATTGTGTTGGAGAAAAAAAAATAAAGGGATTGTTTAGCACAGAAAATTTACATTTCATCAATTTATTTTTATCTGTATTTATTATATCGCCAGTTTGAAAATCGCCTGTTGAAGTCGCATAGGAGAACATTCAACCATGAAATTTATAATCTTCTTAAGTCTTCTCACTCGTTGCAAGATTCAATAATATGACTATACGTTTGAAAACATAGAATCCTACCTAAAAGAAGAAGAAGACATATTTGAAATTTATACAAGTAAAAAGATAATTTTAATCTATTTGTGTTTTGAGAAGCACGTTAAATAATGTTGATAGAAATTGTGAATAAAAATGTAAACATTTTCTTGAGGTTGTAGGTCGGCATGTATGAGCTGAAGTATACAGAGAAGATACAAATTCTTTAGCTGTCGTCATAACATCTTCGTCAAGTTACTTAGACTCAATACAGTTATTTCAGTCTTTCTACCTATGACATCTTGTATTTTATGTCGTAAACCTTCATACGTTATTCCAATCACAAAACTGTACTTCTTTGATTCTCGAGTGTCGAACTATTGTACCTATAATCTAAACATGTTCTTGTATAGTTTGATTTCTTGCTGTATATTTCTTACTGTACTTGTAAATACGTATTGCATTTTGAGTGTTCCAGCTCAGGAAATGTTCAAATATTGAAATGTGATGAGATATTGTACTTTGGGTGGTCCAACTCAGATAACTGCTGTTCAAATATTGAAAGGTGATCAGTTACTGAAGTGTGAGTAGTCCAACGCAGATAACTGCTGTTCAAATATTGAAAGGTGATCAGTTACTGAAGTGTGAGTAGTCCAACGCAGATAATTGTTTTAAAATATTAAAATGTGTGTGATCAGTTACTGTACTTTGAATAGTCCAACTCAGATGAATGTTATTCAAGTATTGAATTGTAATCAGTTACTGTACTTTGAGTAGTCCAACTCAGATGAATGTTATTCAAGTATTGAATTGTAATCAGTTTCTCTACTTTGAGTAGTCCAACTCAGATAATTGTTATTCAAGTTTTGAATTGTAATCAGTTTCTCTACTTTGAATGGTCCAACTCAGATAATTGTTGTTCAAATATTGAAATGTGATCAGTCATTGTACTTTGAGTAGTCCAACTCAGATAAATGATATTCAAGTATCGAATTGTAATCAGTTACTCTACTTTGAATGGTCCAACTCAGATAAACATTGTTTAAATATTGATTCATACACAAGCGTTCGATCGATAGCGAACCTCCATACAGCCAACCAAGATCAAACTATTTTCTGATATCACCTCCGAGTGATGGCGTCGTTATGTTAAAACAACGGTTTATGTCCACATGAACTGCTTTGTATGTCAGTGTTGGTTTAACGTCGATACAAGCTGGGATATAACACAGATAAGACGAAGCAGCTACAGTATTTTAAGGAGATACTATCGATAATTCCTACCTAATATCTTGCTTCCGTAAACAGGTATTAAAACTTTTTGAATCATGATGAAGGTTATCTGCATAGAAAACTAATGCCAATAGTTTGAAATATGAAACAAAACCAAAACCCATATGTATAATTATATGTGATATATAATTACATTATTATATATTTGGATGATTT